AATCAAGAAAGATAAATTTCTTATCAAAACAGTTGATATAAACATGATTGTATTCCAACCAGTTCATCTCAAGAATAACATCAAGTTGATCTAATGGAAGACACACTAAATCAACTCCAAAATCTTTACCTAAAATACTCAATGGAAAATTCAAACATACATATGAAGTAGTCATTGAACCCATAGCAGGAGTGTAAATAACCATACTTCTATTCATATCAGATAACTTAAGATTCAATCTCTTAACACAATCCAAAGAAATGAAAGAATATGTCACACCAATATCAATAATAGCAATCAAAGGTGTACCATTAATAAAGCACGTACCTCAGATTAGTCTATCCTCATCCGCAGTCTCAGAACCAGATAAAGAAAATACTTTCCTTTAGCTTGTTCCTTCTCCGGCTTGTCACACCTGGTACTAATGTGCCATTGCTCACCATATTTGTAGGAAGTCACACTCACACCTCCTCTGCAACCAAATGACTTGTGACGTAGCTTGCCACACTTGAAACACTTCACATCATCACTTGTGCACTTAGAAACACGATGTCCTTCGACATGACACTTAAAGCATTTAGTCGGAGTAGAAGATCCTCCCTCACACAACCTCTTGTCATAACCACCTCTATGTTCCCCTTATCAGCAGGAGTCACATAAGGCTTCCCAATGAACCTTTCTTATCATTCAAAGACTTATAGTGAGAAACACTTTCTCTACTATCCTCATCATATATTCTACTCTTGTTAACTAACTTAGAAAATCTCCTAATCTGTTGATAACCCATGGCTTCTTGATCTCGAGCCTCAAACTACTCACAAACTTAAGACACTTAGATCTCTCAATATTAGCAGTGTTGTAATGAGGACAAAACTTAATCAACTCATCAAACCTTGCAGCATACTCAACCATAGTTTCATTAACCTGCTTTAGCTCAAGAAACTCAATCTCTTTATTCCCATGCACATCCTCTGGAAAATACTTCTCCACAAATGCATCTCTGAAAAGGGCCCAGGTAATCTCCATCCCATCCTCTTCAAACCTCTGAATAATGTTACTCCACCAATCCTCAACTTCCTTCTCAAGCATATGGGTACCAAACTGTACCCTATAAGCATCTAAACAATTTATGACCCGAAAAATATTCTTAATCGATTTCAACCATATCTATGCCTTGTTAGGTTCATGCGTTCCTTTAAAGATTGGCGGATTGTTCCTCTAGAACTTCCCCAAAGCACAAAATTCATCATCATCTTTGTTGCTAGCATTAACATACAGTTGTTACCCAATCGCACTGACCAACATTGCCAACGCCTCAGCAATAGCTTCGTCATTCCTTCCTACAACCATCATCCTGAGATCCCAAATAACCAAACAACCAATAATCCTCATCATACAAATAGTGTCGATTGTGTCATATGCACATATCGAATTTAAAAGGAAATAAACATATTAATAACCTGGCCAACTGGCCAACTGGCCAACCAGGCTTTGATAACACTAATGTAACACCCCCTCTAAACCCCCGAGAAAATATATGGCATAATCAGAGTAAATTAGCATGCATATCAAAAGAGGGCATCACATTTACTTCAAAACTAATAAAATACACCGGTCATGCTCATAACATGCATTTAAAATCATGTTCCACACACGTATGCATATCAAAGGCGAATAATTCTCTTTCATAATGATACCAATAATTGAAATCCCATAATGCCAATTATATAAAAAAACATTAGGCACAAAAGGTCATCATCACATAATCTTAATACATCATTAATAAAGAGAGTATAACAAACATCTCTCGAAATAAACACGAGTTCAAGCGTTTTCCTGTGTTACATAGACCAGAGCATCACCCACTACCTAATAAGCGGATAAACAAATAACAAGCTCCTCCGACTAATCCTCGAGAGAAGAATCACTATCTTCGATACCTGAGCAATATCGTATAAAACACCATTTCAACAGAAGCGTGAGAATTCACATTATTATAGAAATATATAATAATAAGTAGTGTATAACATACAAGCAACAATTGAATTCATCACACTTCACATGATCACATATACAATATTGCTCAACAATCCACGATTCAATTAATAATCAATCATAAAATATCATAAATGTAATATTCACATCAATATCACAATTACACTCAAATTCAACAATTCACATTGACACATGTGACTCAAATGCAACTCAATACTATACAAGATGCATGTGGTAGCAATTGTTATCCTTACGAGGTTTTTACATTTAAATCCAGTCCACATCTCCAAGATAGATAACCACCAAAAAACCCGTTCTGTAAGCTTTCAAACCCCCATCTCCAGGTTTAGGACAAGTCACTAACTCTTGCAAAAGCTAGCAAACATTGACTCTTGACAGCTTACGATGCATGTGCAATCTCAACATATATATGCAATTAAGACCATATTCATATCTTAATAATACAAGCATATTTCACATAATTCAACACATTTGAATTATCTTACTAAATTGCACAACATACATATATCATGTCAACATTCACATAAAATGCATACTCATAGAATTTTATAAATTCCACACATGACACAACATGTAGAAAGCAATGTCAAACCATGTTATCTTCATTCAACATCAATTTACAATATACATGTACATAATTCAAGTATTATGTTTCTCAATAAAAGTCATCTAAAACACATTGAATACATTATTAAAATTCATGATAATCAACGATAAATCATAAACATACAAGACCCCATCCAATTAATCAAAATATTAAAAAAATGTCTCAGGCCGCGCTAAGCACCCCCTACTGTACTAAGCACCCTCACAATTATGCAGAAAAATTCTGCTACGAAGCAGTCTCGGGTTCCCATGATTTCAACTCCAAAAATCCACCCAAACAACCATATTTCATGAATTAAATGCATTATAACATATATCCATTATATAACATCAATTACTAACATCAAAACATGATTTCAAACATCAGTTTCATGATTTCACATTCAAATCCTAACATTTCAAAATCTAGAAATTGAAGAAAAAAAATCCCTAAACATGGAACTACCCATTACATACTTTTATATAATCCCATAATAAGAAAATTACCCACCCTTACCTTGAATATAAATACTTTCTAGTGTTCTTCCTTCTTCTTCTCTCTTTTATCCTTTTCTCTTCTTTCTTCTCTTCTCTTGTTTCTTTCTTTATAATTCTATTTCTCTTTGTTTTACAAAACTCTTACTAACTTTTATTTCACTAATGGGATTATCTCACCCACTCACACTAATCCATCATACTAATATCCAATTACTTAATAATGCTATTCTCACATCTACTAACTCAATTACTCATAAACACATATTCTCAATTAATTCAAATAATTCATATATTCACAAAATCACACAATTTATTTAATTACTATACCGTATATAATTAATAAAATAAATAGTTAACAAATAATTAACAAATGAAAATCAGGGTGTTACAGGCCACATAAGCTTTCTTAAAATTTTTGTTTTTGGCCAAAGAGTGGAAAGCCTCATAAGCAAGGATGACATTATCTGTGATAAGTCTCCTTGGGACAAACACACTTTGATAAGGGGAAATAATAGAGTCCATGTGGGCCTTAATTTTGTTATATATAGTTTTAATGATGCTTTTAAGGATCACATTGCAAAGGAAAATGAGTCTATAATTGTTAGTGGTGGAAGCGTTAATCTTCTTAGGGATAAGGCATATATAAGTTTGGTTTAGGTTAGAAACATTAGCATCATAACTAGGAATATTGAGAATGAGATCAATATGTCCTTACCAATAATCTCCCAAAAGTGGCGATAGAAAGTAGCATTTAGGCCATCAGGGCTCGGAGCTCCATTACCTTTTAGCTGCATAATAGAATTTCAAACCTCCTCTGCAGTGTACTTCTGCCGCAAGGCCTAGAATATTTTAGGAAATGTTAAAGAAACCTGAGTTAGTCAGCTTTACTTCTGAGAGGAAGATAATTTCTGGTTTGTGGGGTCTGAGGAGCATTTTCAGAGCATGAACTGTTAGGGGGTTACGCAACTCTCGACAGTTTCAACTTAAGATTTTCATGTTTGTTGTGTGTGTTTCTTCTTATTTTTCGGTTGTTCCTCTTGATATGTGTCATTACTGTTGTTGTATGTTGTGGATGTGCTGGCCGATTTTGATCTTTTTGTGTTTTTTATGTCAGGTTTAACTTTCATATCTTCTTAATCAAGCCTTCTGGAATAGGGCTGAATTACTCATTGTCTAGTGAGTGTCTAGGGTTACTATTGTGTTGCTTTGCTCTAGGTTCAGATATACGTCTTTCCAACTCCGTAAATCGTAACCAAGGACCATACAGATTCTTCCTACTAGGATTCAGCTGGGTTTGGTTCTCCAGAGCGAAGAATTCCTCATTGTGCTCGATTTTTCTGCAGTTAAAGCATAACATAAGTAGTCGTTCGTACTTTAAATCTATCCAACTCGTTCCTTCCTTCGTGTTTCCTATGAAATTCCTGGTTTGATAGGTTTTGTGGTATCAATTTCAACCTCCACCTTTATAATAGTTTCTTTGTTAGGGTAGCCGTAAGATTGGATTCCAGCACCAAATCTAGTTTAGAGCCCATTTTTTCTCCTATATTTGTAGTTTTGATTCCAGGGTCTTAGGGATAACCACATGTTTCTAAAGGACCAAAAAAATATAGAAACAAAAATCAAACTCTCACCAACTTAAAAAAATAAATCATATAATTAAAAAAGAAAAATATAGACTATTAGAAACAATTGACTATCATATGAAAATTAGTTATACTCAAATTACAATTAAACTCACAATGCTTATTTATTTTTTATTTTGAAATAGAAGATTATAAAAAATAATTCTTCAATTGAAAGTGAAAACTTTCTTAATGTAATACCATTGACAACTCTATTACCTATCTAAGTTATCCTAAAGTTATGGTTTACAAAAGAAAGTGTTGAGTTGACATGGTTAGTTAGTTCCTCATAGATTTATCTGCACAAAGAACATCTTCAATCCATGCAACAATATTGAATGCTAAACCTTCTAATACTCTTGAGTAACTTTCTAGTATTGCTTTCCCTACATCCTGCAAAACATGAACTACATGCTTATTCTTATTCCTTCACCTCACAATATGAATATATTATATATACATAACCCAACAATACTAACCTGATTGTATTGAATCTTGCATGTGTCCAAGGAAGTTTGTGAAAGCTCAGGATATCTTTGTTTCAAGAAATACAACAAAGTCTCGGCTCTTTCGGCTAAGACATAGTTTTTGTCATTTATATTAGTGTCAGCCATATGAGCTTTTACTTTGTTCCATGATGATTTCGAATGGCTTAAGCAAGCTTTTCGTCTCCATGTGTACATCGATGATTCAACTCTATCCGCTAGTTCAAGTGCTTCGTGTTCAGTAGTTATTTTGAGACAGTCGAGAAGGTTTCCGGGCGAAAACTTGTCTGTAGAATGCATGTACCGATAAATCGTGTCCCCTAGACTTGATCGTCCGCTCTAGAAATAATTCGTGTTTTAAAGAGAAAAGGTCAGAAGATAATGAAGTGTTAAAGATAGTTTACGAACTGATCTAGCTAGGATCAGTTCGTGAACTATCGTTAAATGAATGGATGGCCGAATGAGGACTAACCTTAGGAAGATTTGCCATGTAAGTTTCTGGAATATCCATCTCAGCTAGAACACTGCTATTTATTGCCATGGCTGCTTTATGGATTTGATTAGCACAATCTCTTTTCTCAATCAAATGCTTTCTCGACTTATCAGAGATGCCGCCAGTGTGAACACAAGGAACTGGCAACCACCATTTCTCGTCTTTTCTTTGAGCAATGATCCGAAACGAGCCTGCATTCGAATGAGAGCCTGCGTTTGAATGCGAACTGTGGTTTGAGCTTCCTGATATGCTCCCTTGTTCTGCATACCAGAATTCAGTATCCTGGAAACTATCAAATATTTCCTGTAAAAGAAGAAGCATTCTTGTGTTGTAAGGCACATAGCCTTTGTGGGATGAAAACAGTGTTGTCACATTCAAGAAGCAATTGAAGTTTATCTTATCTTACTATGAGCATTGTGTCAAGCTTCTGTAGAGCTGGAAGGTTGATGTAAATATCTGACCTTGGTCTACTTGTCATCATCTGAAATTTGAACACTAAGAGATTAGTGTTTTGCAACGTTGCGAAATTTGAACAAATCGCTATTGATATGTGATATGCTAATCAATACAAAGTGCTGTCAAATAGCGGCTATAATAGCCCTATATCATTGTAGTGTAGCGAAATTTAAAGAGATCGCTATTGTTCTCTGATATACTATTTAGTTCAAAGCATTGTCAAACAGAATTGTCTAGTCGCAGTTTAACTATGAAAAAACAAATAAAGACTCTATTTAAGAGGCTCTATTTAACCACGGCTTAAGAGTTAAAATTTTCCGATCCTGGGCTACCGCCTGCCTTTCACACTCTCAAAGACGGCCCTGTTGTCAAATAATGGACATAACAATGCTGTACTAATGTAACGTAGCGGAATTTGAACAAATCACCGAATGAAAAACACTACAAGGTTTGTAAATAAGGTTTATAAATAGTTTACCTCTATAATTGTGCCATCATCCAAGTATTGTGCAGTTGGTGCAAATTCTACTATGTAATCACACACAGACATAAGACAATTCATTTCTCTTTTCCACATAGCTTTCTTCTCAGGCTTTAGAGGCTCCAACTTCAAATTATGTCCAAATACAGTTGCTGCAAATTTCCAATCCAAGTATTATATAAACAAAACAAACACACTGCAAGTATACAATAAATTTGTTACTTAAACGTGCGAAAGCGTTGTTACTGTAGTCCCTGAACATATCAAATTTGTGTATGTTTTTGTAAATTTGATACATTCAGAGACTACCGCGACAGCGTCTGACACGTTTAAAGAGTAAAATCACTATTTACTCAACTTATTACTAAACTACTACAATTTTTGTTACTGTTAAAAAAATTACCATAGAGATTAGTAATGGAATTTGATATTGTAACAGCAGTACAAACGCCTTTACCACCACCAGACATATCTTCCCCCAAAAGCAGCTTAGAAAATCTTTCCTTCATCATTTCAAGCTCTGCAAACATCCATAAAGTTGATCAAAGTTTTATGTTTGGATTAAGCACTTAAATTTAATCCAATTGAACTTATTCACACATAAAAAATGCACAAAGAAACTACATAATCATGCACTCTACAAAGTGCAAACCAACCTGATTCCAAGATGTCCAAATCATCAGATTTACCATCCAATGAATGCTTTCTCTGCTTCATTCCTAACCTCGAAAGAACAGCTCCATGTTTCACACTCATCCACGGAGAAGGCGAAGGGTCACTAGCATAACTATTATCATCAACAGCCTCAGATAAGCTCGAAGCCTCAGAATTACTCCGACAATACGCGAAAGAATCACCGCTGAACGGCGAGTACTCAGGGGTTTCACTGACTGAATGATCATTTTGATCCACAGAAGAAGTTGAGTCAAAATTCGAAGAATTGTCCATTTTAGCTATGCACAATTTTCCAACACCTACATATATAAAACCTGTGTCACAGATCAAATTACTTGAATATGTTGTTGTGTAACAAAAAAGCAAAAGCTGTCAAAGAATGTTCCTGCTACTGAAACATCAAATTATTTGAGAACTTTCCAACACTTAACAACAAAAAGAAAAAACTGTTAGTAATTTCCATTTCCAAAACTTGAAATATACAACGGTAAGAAAAACAGAAAAGAGAGAAAAAGCAACGGTCCCCATAATATACATATATGTTACCTTTTTATTTGGTTTGATTTGAATTTGAAACTGTAACTTTAGTTAAACATGATTTGAAACTGTTCCCTCCTTAACTAAAAGAAAAAGAAACAAGAGAAGAACATGAAGACAACAACTTCATCATCACATTCATTACCTTTCCTATTACAATAATATATCATTAAGGCATAAAATCTATTTTCATTAATATCTCTAAATTATTTTTAATATGTGTTCATGAACTGTCTATATGAAAATAGAAAAACTCAATTAGTATTTTTATTTAGTTGGTGAAAAATTTAATACAAATGGCTGTAGAATAGCTGGTCTACAATTGAATCGCATGTGAACAATAAATCAATTTTATTGATAACACTTATTTTTGTTATAATATTGTAGGCTTGAAGATGCTTGAAGACGTGCAACCATTTCTCAAGAACATATAGAATATCATTTTCATTTGGTTCATGATAGCTTGATGAGATAATGAAAATATTATAGTACATAATCGTGAAGATTACAACTCAAGTGATTTATATTGATATGCTTCAGATGACTTTTTTTAATAATAATAATTTTATCTTTCCTATTTCTTTTCTTATTGTCATTTTTAAGTTTTATTTTGGATTTTAATCCTTTGACCAATTTGGAAATAATTTTTTATGATGTGGCACAAGTACTAATGACATGACAGATCTAAACTGAATCATTTTAAAATAATGGGTCAAAATTGTATTTAAATTAACTTTTTAATTTTTTAATTTTAAAAAAAATAATTAATAATACTAATTGTAATATTGTGTCTTGTCATTAATTAATACGACGTGAAAATAAATGCAACAGCTATAATCTTTGGGGTCATTAGTATATGTGTTACATCATAAAAAAATATTTTTAAATTGGTCATAGTATAACATAAAATTTAAAAAAATAAAAAATGTGACTTTTAAAATAGAGATCAAAACTCAAAAAATGACAAAATAAAGAGATTAAAATTATTATTATTATTATTAATATATTTATAATTTTAGCTTCTTTTGTCATTTATATTGTTAATATAAGATGTGAGTCACATTAATGATTACAAAGTGAGAATTGGACTTAGACTCATATTAAAAGTGAGGTTGAGTATTGAAGTTGTATTTATTAGGTTAGTGTAGTTGGAGTTTGGTTGGAGTCTTATATTATTTAAATTTTTTTATTGTTGAATGTATAAGAAATTTTTTTGTACATCTCTTATTAGTGGGGAAAAACTCTTGAAAATCTGAAAAATATATTTCGGAGATGTATCTCCAAACGCACTTAAATTAGAGTGTTTCAAAGATGCATCTCCGAAAATATGCAGTAATATTTTCAGAGATGCATTTTCGAAACATCCTTATTTGATTATTTCGGAAATGCATCTCCGAAACCCTGGACAATGTTTTTTAAAACCATCAATGTGTTAAATAATTAGATGAAAACAATAATAAAAACGCAAATGAAAAATGATAAGCAATAAAAAACGATAATATACACAATAAATTGTTTAAAATATAAAAAATACAATAATTGTTCATAAATTATTCTGAAATAAAAAAAGGCATAGCCTACCGCGTACCCTGATACTCACTCATTGTCCCCTCCTCTGTCTCATGTATCCTGCCGCACTCTCTGGCTCCTCAACCATTCTCTCTACAATGGTCACCGCTTCAAGACCACCCCAGTAAACGATACATATGTCCAAAGCCTCCCGCCCAATCATTTGTATCCACTGATAGATCGACAAGAGATCAGTGGCATGTTCATTCTCGGCCTGCTGGTTCTCTAAGATCTCCTCATGAGCTGATCTAGGTGGACGTCCAGGAGCATCGGGTGTCATGATAGGATGTGGCACTGTGTAGAACCATGTCATGTATCCCTTAACACAGTGCCAACTGCTGGATGCCTGCATCATTCGACACTCCTCTGGCACCACATGATGCTCCAAATATTAAAATATGCCATCTAGATCTCAGTAGGAAATGGTGTCAGAAACAACCTGAAATGGAGATATGGGTATGGTCTACACATAGTCAAACTGCCGCATGCATCGCTCATGCAGATACCTGACCATAATGGCACTTCCACATGCCAGCCACCCATAATACAATGAGATGAAGTAGAACTCGATAATCTCTCGGTGATCCTCGAACGGGGTCCATAGGATGTCATCATGGACAGTCCAATCCAGATACACTCGGAACGACAACACAACCTGCTTCCCTCTGTGGAGGACATACCAAGCAGCCCTCGACATGTGCTCACTATACTACATATCCAGCTCAAAACCATGGATGCGGTGGAAGTGAGAAATGATCCATCCCTGAAAAAAGAATAAGATTCATGTAAGAACAAATTATTGTTATTAATAGTAAATTAAATTTAATCGTTGGAATGGAAATCATGTCAACAGTGTAGTAGAGCCTGTCAACTGTCGTGTCCTCTAGTTAGAGGCTTCATTCAGCTTTTGGTATAGGTATACCAAACAGCCGACCCCCCAATTCTAATCCCTCACTATATCCAAATCCATGAAGTACCTGAGGTATGCTACTGTAGCGATAAAAAAATGTAGCGGGGTAAATCGGAGATCGAATTATTGATTAATTCGTCTCACAAAAGCAAGAGTCGCCACCGCGCTTTATTATTCCCAAGAGAAAAGGGGAAAGAGCGAAATAAAACCCTAAATATGCAATGTAAAATAATACTTTTTAAAAGTAAAAAAATACAAGGCGTTTTTGAAAAGAGATCTATGGTTCGGGGGTTGGTTATACAATGGGAAGGTATTAGCACCCAATGTATCTATAGTACTCTATAGGAACCTTTTGAAATATCTGTTTATTAAAATGTTCGTTTGATTAAAAATAAATTGTTTTGACCGAAAAGGGGTACGAACGGGTTTTTGAAGGTACGACGACCTAATGTCGAAGTTTTGACTTAAAAGGTGTGAGTTTTTGAAAAGATTGAATATTTGAGGAAAAATTGTCTTAGGTTTTAATGGAATGCAAAATATTCGCGTGATCGGACTTGAGGACATGAAGTCAACAAATTTAATCGTTTTTCCCTTTGGATTTAGACGTAAACAGAATAATCAAATAAAGATGAAATAATTAACAGAAAATTATGCGGATAATGATTAAATAGCAACAATTAAATAATAGACTAAATGGTGTGAACATGCATTTTGCATTTTTTTAATAGGTATAACGCAAGAGAATTAATTAAAGAAAAGATAAAATGTTTTAATTCTTAAATTCTATTTTTATATTTTTTGTATTAGTATTAACTAAAACGAGGGAAGTAATTTACAGAAAATAGCATGTTTTTAATTTTAAGTCATTGTTATTTTTTTATATGTTTTTTTTAATATTAATAAAAAGTATTATTTTAGAATTATTAAATGATTTTAAACTAAATTAAAACTTAAAAGATACTAACTTAAGTCTAATTAAAAAAAAAAAGGGAATATTAAAATATTAAATTAAAACCTAAAGCTAAACTTAATAAAAATTGGTCAAATACTAAAATGTTTTAATTAAACTACATCTCTTATTGATTAAGTTCTATTAATTAACTAAATTAAAACTCTCTAAAAAAAAAGGCTAAAGAGAACAAAATAGGAAAAAAGTGTTGAGAAATAAAAGGGGTAGAAACATAATCAAAACATATGGGCTAAAAAGTTTGAGAAGGCCCAATCAAGAAAGCAGAAACGGGGGGTGCACAAAAATGGATTTCGTTGGGCTTGGCAGAAAATGGGGTGAGGCCCATTCAGATTTTATAATTTTGTTTTTTAGGGTTAAACGTGTTTAGTATTGAGAGAAAGGGATTAGGGTTTGGTTACGCAGCGCCGTTCTTCTTGTATCGTCTTCTTTGTTTTCGTGTTCTTCTCCTTCATGCTTTCGCCTCTGAGTTCCTTGCCACGACCACCGGTACCTCAGTCAACTCCCTCTTCTCCAAGGTCATGTGGGCAACGGTCTACGAGGTATTGATTTCACTGATTTCACTGATTTCACTTTGGATGTTTTATGCTTTTGTGCGTTTTAGTTACTTCTGATTCCATTTTACATTGTTCAAGGTTTGCATGCTATGTGAAAAAAAAGGAAATGAAGGGTTATACCTTTGAAGAGGAGGTGAGAAGGACTAGAGGCGACAGGGCGGCCAAGGGCGGAAGAAAGTGATGCGTTGCGAGCTTCTGCTTATACTGAAACCCGGTACTTTGTCTCTTTCCTCTTCTTGCTTGCTTGCTGTGTTTCAGTTGCCTTCTTTATTGTTGGCCTATGATGGTATACTCTGAGGCTGGATGCTTGACTGTTCCTTCGAATAATTTTCCTCTCTTATTTTGTACTGGATGCTTCTGTATGTTTGGATTTGGTTGCCTGGATGTTTTGAATGTTGGTGGATGCCTCATGTTGCCTAATGATGAAGAGATTCTGAAGGCCTTGCTTCCGTTGCCTTGAACATGCTACTGTTGGGACATTTTTGTTTTGACTAGCTTCTTTTCTTCTTCTTCTTTGATATGCTACTGTTGCTTCAATGGCCTATGATGAATACTGAGGCTTTATGGTTTAGGGACAGTTTCATGTAGGTTTGCATTGTTCTGGGTTTTGCTTTGGTTGGATGGACAGTTTTGGTATTTTTTGCTCTTTTAGGCCATGGTTCTGGTATTTGAGATAGCAGGTTTTATGGTTTAGGCCAAGGTTGTTTTGGTAATCGAAACAGGTTTATGGTTT